AAAAAGGCTCCAGTAGACAATCAAACTGCCAAATTAGTAGTGTTGCTTGAAAAAACAACCAGAACGTCAGAGCTGAGGAAAGTTTATTTACTTTAGTTTTTGCAAACATTTATGAAAAAGTGCTGCCCGTATCCTCACTTGCCTTTGTGATCTTGATTCCAAGGTCAGAAATGACTAGGTTTCGACTGAACTTTTACGATGTGACCTAAGCATAGAAATAAGCTCAAAATATCCTCCACCTTCTTGTCAGCCTCTTACATTCAAATTAGTCAAGAAATCTCGAGAGGAGGCAGGGGAAAAGGAGACAGAAACAGGGAACAACTAAAACGAACATTACAAATGAGAAGTGGTACATAAGGGCAATAAATATTACAACTAAAAGCAAAAAAAGCGACTTGACTGTAAGGTCCCACTTCCCCAAACTCTTTTCTTGTTTTTTCTCCAAAGACTATTGTATCACCTGCAGCAGTGTTTCTAAAACAATTTCTAGTCTTTCGCCTTTTACTGCAGAAAAAATTTTAATGTAATCCTTGCCGCAGAACCTTTTTGCAGCAAGTTATTTCAGGTGCTATTTACCTGTATCACCATAGCCTAAACTCTCTAAAATCTTCACCCATAAGAGACAGAGCGATAAGACAGATACACAGGCTGAAAAAAAAAGGAAAAAACTGACACCAATATCGGACCAAAATTTTTCTTGACTTCCGGTTAAGCGACGTTCCAACGGATCGGCTCTAAAATTAAAAAATAGCACTCAGCTGGAATTTTGCCAACAGGTTACAGAAACTCAAGGTTTCGTTATATGAAAATGTTCTACCGAAATTAATACTGGCTGACAAATGAATAATATATCAAACACCTTTGTGTGAAAATTTTCTATTATTGTTTCAATCGTTGATAGAGGATTAAAATTTCAAATAAACAGAAGTAGTGATGGACATATCCTTTAAAGTGGCTTCAAAAAGGTTTAGTTTTGAAGAGTTAATCCAGTTACGATTTCTCACTATGGACTGTGTTCAATTAGCAAATGCAATTTTTTGCAACTTTAAAGCAGGTAAGAATTTCAAGTGCAAAAGTGAAATGGGGCTAAACTTTTTGAATTTTCTATATGAAAGGATTACTCAACAATGTTTAAAAAAATCTGGAAAAGTTGTCTCAAAAAAGTGAATTGGTTTGATGCAAAATGTCTTAAATATGCTCAAAATTAAAAAGAATATGTTTGGTGGACATTTAAAAACTACAACACTTTAACAG